GCTCCCGGGAACGTAGCATCAGGAGTCTGTGTTTGCTGGCTTCCTGAGGTACTGTCTTGCAGGTGTCCTACCTGCCAAGAATAAGAAGGCAAGAAACATCAGGTTAGTTTCCAGACTGAGCTTCCTGTCTTCCCCTTGGAGACCAGTCCACACTGCTGCCACGGCATGCAGAGTCTACTCTAGCCCACCTATGAAGACCTGGAAGAAGTGTTGCGGTGTGTGCTGCTATTTTGGTGTTAATTAGTGTTGGCTGCCTGCAAACACATGCTGGAGCGAGTAGGATCGTTGGGTTTCCACAGTCCACTGCTAATGTAGAAACCTGCTAATAAAACAGAGCTGTGTTGTTCCAGGTGGAATGCACTTCATGCAGATGTTCACTGGAATAAAACTTGCAGTTCCTCAACTCTGCAGTAGCTTTGAAAAGCACAAGGTCAATGATTAGTGCGTTAATTACAAACTGGCTTCCACTTACAGTCAGACAGCCTCTCAGCTGTGAGCTGAGGGTATTTCATGCTTCTCTGAAGCACTGGCCACCTCCAGAGCCACAACACTTGCCTAAAGACCTGAGTCTTTAGAAGATTGCCTGGGGTGGGCTCGTAGTGGGAGCAGCTCCAGAGCAGAAACAGAGCGTTCATCATTGCTGTCCTTGGCAGCAGGCCCCAGGCGTGGCCTCACCGTCACCAGTAACCAGTCACAGGTAGCTCAGTCTACAAGCCCTCCCCAGTATTCCAGAAAGGGGTTCTAGAATGGTAAGAGAACTTATGTTTCTTTTTTATAACTGAGTGGAGTTTTCAAAACGGGCTTCAGTAACAAGCAGGCAGGTTCCTTTGAACTAGACACCTGTATTTGTTTTACTCTGTGTGGGCCTCTTGTTGCAGAGCTGCTCCTCTCAGCTGTCATTGCTAGTGAACAAGAGAAGGGCTCATTACCCCATCCCTGAGTCATCCTCTTCCCTCTTACTCTAATTACAGTGAAACTGAGTTCAAGTCCATCAAAGTGGAAATTACAGTTTCCTAAAAATGTGGAAGGCAGTAGATCAAGAGGCCAGCTGTAGGCAGCGGCTAGACCACATCAGGAAATGGTGTGGTGAAGATCTGAGGGTGATAATACGCTGTAACACAAGGCAGAACAAGTACAGCAGAATACAACACGACTGCCCTTTCTTCATAATTGCCAGACTCTGAAAAAGTGGAGTAAAACAAAGCCAGAAATGTCTGTTAGACTTGTCTGCCCTATTACGGAGGACCTGACGTTGATAATGCTGCTGATTCCCTTTGGGAGGCAACAGCAGTGCATCCAGATTGGGGCCCGCACTACAGCAATGCTGATAAACTGGGTTATTCCCTTCTTAGTTTTCAGGGAACTGTTTGACAGCTGTAACGTAACTTGTGTCCTTGTGTTCCTTCTGCGTTCTAGGCCTCTCTCAAGTTGCTGGCGGCAGATTTCAGTGCAATGGTCAACAACCCCCACTTAAGTGATGTCCAGTTCCAGGTGGACTGTGGGGAAGTCATTTATGCCCACATGTTTGTGTTGTACGCACGGTGTCCACAGACCGTTCAGGCTGTAAGTACTGCAGACGTACCTTCCTCCTCTGCTTCGGGAAGGCCCAGTCTGCCCACAGCTGCAAGCAGTGAACGCTGCAGCATCAGCACAGAGCACTGTGGGGCCTAACGACAAGTGCCTCTGGACCTGCTGTGGTTTTTCAGCTTAGGAAACCAGAATCCTGACAAAGTGGTGGAAAATGTGGTACTTGACCCGAGGAGGCTGCGGGGAGACAAGGATCCTTCCTTGCATCCTGCCTGTGAGCAATGAAGGAAGCTTCCTAAGTGCTCTTTGCCCTTGGATTTTTGTACCTGTGCAAGTGCAGACTGCCTTGTCCGTCTTGGTGTGTCCAGCCTGTTGCCCAGGCTGGGAAGCTTGAGTATGGAGTAGAGAGATTCTGGGAACTACTTAAAAATGACCTACACGAAGGTTTTGTCACTCACAGTTGCTTTGCAGGGAGCTGTACTGAACTGTGCTTTTTTCCAAGGTTAGCGAAGTAGTTGCTGTATTCCCTGAAGCATTTTGAGTTGAACAGTTCACAGCCTGCTGTCGGGACAGCGAAAGGCACTGAGCCTAAGATTTGAACTCTTTCACAGAGCTGCCATCCGTCCATACAGCCAGCTCCCTAACAAAGGAAGCGTTCTTCAAAGCTGCTTTTGGAAACAGTGGAATTAGTTTTATCCTCATGCATGCCCGTTCCACCCGAGGAGACACGGGCTATTTCTAAGGGATCTGTGAAAGCTCGGGAAGGGACAGCAAGTTTCTATATGCCATACAGCAGTCTTACTGTGAAATTCCATAAGGGATCTTCACAACCACCAGCAAATGTGCCCACAAATCAAAGGGCTTCAAAAGCCACTGGGTTAGCCAGTTTCTCTTCTTTCCCTGTAACTCTGCCTGGCTTCAGCATTCCCAACCAGGCTTTTCCTGGGCAGGAATCTTTGTGTGGGTAGAGTTGTGGGATTGGCCCCATGCTGTATTTTTGATTCCTGCAGAGGGTTGTTTTCCTCTAAGTCCCCACCTGCAGCGCAGCATCTCCTGTTTATTTTCTGTAGAGGTGAGGGAGTGCTCTTCATTGAAGATTTTGGGTAACAGAGAGATGGTAGTTAATCGGAGATGACTTCAGAGCTCATGTTTCCTCTTGCATGGTATCCCTTGACTTTGGAGAGAGTTTGAGATAGCACAATACGTGATTTGGCTGCAAAGGAAGTAAGACCCCACTGAACTGGAGATGCGTTTTTGCCAACATCTGAGATCAAGTAGGATACACAGATAATGGTCCAGTTCAGTGGAGCAGTATTTTGTGTGGTGCCTCTTGTCCTGTGAGACACCCAGAGAACTAGAGTTTTGGCAGTTCATCAAGGGTAGGTAAATTCAAAACAGATCAGAGGAAGCTTGCTTGTAGAGAGGTGTAGATAACTCTGGAAAGTAATTTGATTCTAAAACTAACTGTAGAATTCTCAGACCATCTTTTATATGTGTGTCTAAAACAAGGAGTAGTCAAACTTTATCCAAGCTAACAGCTGTAGGGTCAGGAAGGAAATGGCCTGTTCCATACGAAGCGCTGTGCAACTGGTCATTTCAGCTTCCCCCTGAGCCATCGGGCCCTAGTCCCAGGGTAAGACTTTGGTGAGTGAAAGGAGTAAGCTGATAGGAACAAGAACATTGGTGTTGCTGTTCCTTTACCAGCAAATGGACTTTGTTTGCTTTCTTCTTACTCCAGGTTCACAGCCAGGGGTTCTTAGTGGAGGAGGATGGGAACGCACAGACACGCCGTGTGCTGCTGAGCGATGTGACAGGAGAGGCGGTGTGTGCGTTCCTGCGATACCTTTATGCTGCTGATGTTGACATCCCTGCTGGGCTGCTGCCCCAGGTGGGGGCTCTGGCTGCCAGGTTTGTATCATGAGCATGTTTTGGATCCCCTCATGCTTTCAGCCACACAGAACCCAGCCTGATATCTTCCGTTGCAGTTTCAGTAGCTTACAGATTCCATAGTCCTCTACTTACATCTGAAATGAAACTTGAACGTAAGAACATCCTGCCCTCACCTTTTCCACGGGTTTCTCTTCAGGTTGTATCTGTCAGGTTTTCTATGTTCAATATATTCCTAGCCAACTTTTGCCAAGAGTTTTTGGTCTCAGGATCATCATTGGCAGCTGATGTCGACAGTGATAATGAGCATATCTTCTGTATCTGATTCTCACAGCCTTGCACTAGTGCCGCGTTTAGCCAGAACAACACTTGCGGAATGTATTGGATGCAGGGAATGCTAACGTGTGTCTCGTGGTCATGATCCTAGGTGTGCGCTAAGAGCTTGAAACAGGAGCAGTTGCTGAGATACAGGGGGGAGGAAAGGGTTGGGTCTTGCCAAAATGTATGTACAAAGGTGCCCTGTCACTCCAAAATGCCATGAAGCTGGCACAGACGTTATCCAGCCCCAGCCATTCCGTGGGGCTCTCACCCATGCAAATGGCAAAGAGGTTTTAATGAAGTCATACAGCTGGTTAGATTCAAACGTAAAAAAGGAAGAATGGGCCTGATGCTTTCATGTGAGTGCCACCTGGAAAAGGGAATTCCGAATTTTAGGAGTGTGCTGGATCTTGTATATCATGCAAATTCTTTACAAGGCTCACAAGAGTGATCAGGCAGCCAAATGGTCAAGAAATACTGAAGGAGAAAAATACTAACATTACCGTTACATCTTTGCAGGTTTGGTGTGAGGGAACTGATGGCAGAGTGTGAAAAGAACACTGGAGAGACTCAGGTGTCTTCTGCGGTGGATTCAGAAGACGATCTTATCTCTGTGAGGGATGACAGTGGTTGTGAGGACAGAGCTGAGAACTTCCAAGACCTCTTGAAGTCAGTGTGGGTGGGTGAAGATGAGGAAGAAGAAGCTATGCTGAACCCTGAATGCCAGAAGGAAGATGACAATGGGGTGGGTGAAGAGGAGCTGGAAGAAATCTATGAGTTTGCTGCAACTCAGAGAAAGATGGCTCAGGGTGAAACAGAGGTGAGCGAGGGAACAGACTGCAGCACCTGCAGCAATACGGAGGCAGCCCAAGGTACAAACCAGCAAACTGAGGAGGAAGAGGTAAAGAGATCTGAATCTGCTTCAATAAGCAACAACTTCAAAGATTTGAGGGATGACAGTGACGTGGAAAGATCTAAATGTGACTCGTCTGTAGAAGAAAAGCAAATGCAGAATATAAATAGGTACAGGAGTGTGAATGCTGCGCAGACCACTTCTGTTCTTCACCACGGTGAACCTCAGAAATGGGACGTAGCATCCCATGGTGCCAGGGCTAATGAAGGAAAGACTGATAGGAAACGTGAAGGTGTGAAGGATTTCAAGTCATCCCAGGTCTCACGTGATGGGGCAGATCACTGTGACAAACAGTTTCCTGGCTTCCACGGTGATGCTAATTTAAATCAAAGTTATGAACTCTTGTTTTCTGCAACACAAGGAGATTACTGTGAGCCTTCCCCAGCGAAAGAAGTTACCAGGGCATCAGGAAAGGCTCCTAGTGAAAAACATGTTGATGCTGATGATTTACTCCTGTACAGCAAGTCACAAAAAGACCCCTCCCCATGTAGGAACAGTTTTTACAGGAGTCCTTCTCCCAAACCTTGTGTGACCCTTTTTCCTGCTGTTGGCTCTTCACCGGCGTCTCCAAAATCAGACAGAAAGTTTGCCAGAGAACATGTGTCAACACCAAAGGAAAAAGCATTCCCATCTGACGAAATACCCTTTCAGAAAGCCGACAAGCTGGGTACTGCATCAGGAAACGAGAACACAGTTTCTCAAGAAGAGCTTCCCCACATTGATTTAAACAAGCGTATGTGTGTCCCGGTGGTGTTGTCCCCGGTCATCAGAACTCAGGATGTTGCAGCTCAGGAGAACAAGGAGGGTGATGTTATTGTTTTATCTTCTGATGATGAAATGGAGTTACAGCAAGGCAAGGAGTCGCCAGAGTCAGGCTCTGCTGCGAAGGAAATGGAAATCCCTGGGCAACGGAAAGGTACAAATGTAGAACAAGGTCCTGAGATACCACAACCTGAACCTAAGTCACCAGTCACTGAAACAGAGCAGAGATCATCCCAGGTCTCAGGTGGTGTCACAGGTATAGTGTGTGTAAGTAGTGAGGTGCAGATGTCCCCCGAATTGCCTCTCAGCAGACAAACAGACGCTTGTACAGAGATCAGACGGAGTCCAAACCTCAGCCCAGAGAAAAGGCTCAGTCATGAAGTATCTTCAACTGCAGATAACTCCTGGCTAGTGCCAGACACACCGGTTCTGAGCAAAAGCAGAAGTTTCTCAACACAGACTCGGGTCATAAGTATTAATTCTTCAAAGAGTCTGGGATCTAAACGCAGCACAAGGAACTTAGCAGCAGGTAACCATGATATGGCTGGAAATTTAACATTCTCAGACAAACATTTGCCTATGGAGAACTCAGTCAGTGAAAGGAGCCTTTCCAGCAGCCCAGCAGCAAGATTGTTTTCCAAGAACTCCCCACCAGTTTCTCCAGTGGATCCAGTTCTCCCCTCCCCTGGCCACACCAACATAAAAAGCAAATGTGCTGAGATCTCATTTTTATCCAAACCTGTGCCTCCGTGCCATGAGCAGTCACTGGAAGACAAAACAAATATCAGCGTGGTAGAGGTAGAGGACAGTGAAAAGGAAGTAAGTCTTCCTTCTTTGGGTAGTAGCATCTTGCTTTGTGACGATCCCCCAATCCCTGTTGATGACTGCTGGTATGTTGACTGCCTGTCCCCAGTCAGAGGTAACAGCCGGGACTACAGCCGGGTCAGCCGTGCAAAGACCAGCAGTGCCAGCAGCCCCAAACCTGACTCTTGGCATGACCCGCGCGAGAGCCCAGTCCAGGCGCAGGAAATTCAGGGCAGCACCCCTCTTCGGGGAAGTCCTGTTGGCAGAAGAACAACTTTGCTCTGTCTTGAAAGGAGTCCCATTGAGGCATGTTCATCGGTGGCCAGCCGACCGAGTTACCTGAACTCCAAAATCTGGGATGATTGGAATGGAGAAGAGGAGGAAGTTGAACTTCCAGAGATGCTTCCTCTGTCTCAGAGGCTGTCAGCTGCAGCAGGTGCCTGTCGGACAGACCCCGTGAAGACCCCTGGTGAGAGCTTGTCTTGACAGGAGATGATTGGACTAGGGCAGATTGTTTTAAGTGGTCATCTGACCCGTGGTTCACCTGATACAGTGAAAGGGTCTCTTGGCCTTCTCATCTGAAGTAGTTGTCAGGGCCAGCCACAAAGAAGGTACAACCATCCTCTGATGTGGGAGAGAGCATATCTAAATGTGGGATTCCCAGAGCACAGCTGCTTGTGTTTCATTCACACTGTTTCTTTGATAGTGATGGTACTCCTTGCAGAGGCTGCAGGTACCTGGAGGAAAAAAACCTAACCAAACCAGAACAACCCAAAAAACCCCATCCTTCGGCTTGCATGCTAGTGGATATTTGTTCCCAGTAGTAGTGGGGGCTCTGTAGAGCCTTTTGCTGTTCACGCATTCGTGAAGCGATGCTTGTGCTAACATATACGAGGAGATGAGGTAAGCCACACGCTTGGTGGCGCAGGCGCAGAGGGTCTCCTTGTGTGGAGGGTAGCGGGGGGCGGGGGCCTGCCCTGCCCGTGGGTAGGCTTCAGGCGTGCTTTCCTGCAAAGCTCCCCCGGCACGCTGCTCTCTTGTGCTGCCTTCTGTCTGCTGCCTCTGGGCCCATGCAACAGCCCTCGGTGTCCCTGGCGTGGTTCATTCCATCTAAGACCAGTAATCGATCTCATAGCATCTAATTAAATATATTATTACTTATGCCAACCTAAGTGATTAGTTTAACGGGTGTTTAGAACATAATAAGTGAGACTGACTGTGAAGCGCAGTGTCAGTAAATTGGTATCATTCAATCAGTAACTCAGGACCCCAGGAGCTTGACTTGCTCCGTTCCTTCTGCAAGTCCCTATGATGACATTTCCTTCCTGGGAGAAGAACCACTTTACAGAATTCAGTAAACAGGATTTTGTTAACTGCCTTGTAAATGTTGCCTGTTCTGACAAAGCCCTGAACAGGCTTCGTATTCAGATGTGACATATGTCTTAATTTAAGATAGTTCTGATTTAGAGTCAATAAAAACCAAGTATCCCAGATTAGGAAAAAAAAAGAAGTGTTGACTCTTCTGTCCAGTATGAAGCTAAGTAATAATGAAAAGAGCTTGTGGAAAGGTAGTGCTGCTTAAACAATTATTGTATAATATGAGAGTATCTGCCACTAGAGGGGAAGGTATCAGCCATTTTAAGTCGCTTCTGTACTGATTCTGCTCACGGTAATGTCATTCTGCTGCAGAACCATCCTGTCAGGAGACCAACAAGCCTCCCAGCACTCCGGTGACCCCAATGCCAGCTTACTCCATCATGGAGACCCCACAGCTGAAGGAGGAGTTGAGCAGGTTAGCATTACCTCCATGAGTACATCTCTTCAGGAGCAGCAACTTGCTGGCAGATGGTGTGAGCAAGCTCCTGGGCTGTGTGCTGGTTTTGGCTGAGATAAGAGTTTAACTTTCTTCATGGTAGCTCATACCTCAGCCAAAACCAGCACAGGCTGAAAGGGAAACCTTGGTGAAGCTCCAGTCAGTGGTTTTTGAGGTCATGTCACACTCTTCCAGCTGACCACTGGACTTCCTGGCCTGAGCTCAGTGGAAGGTGCAGCATTATCTCAACCTAAGCTCCCACCTTTCTCTTTCAGATTTGGAGTTCGTGCACTCCCAAAACGCCAAATGGTGCTGAAGCTGAAGGAGATATTCCAGTATACTCACCAGGATGTGGACTCTGACTTTAAGGATGAAATGCCATCTTCCCAGCCTCCCCTCCAGAAGTCCCCAGCCAAAGGGACAAAGAAGTCCAGGCAGCCAAAGGCCCAGCAGACTGCAGGCGGAAGGTGTGCCAATGCCTCCAAGGCTGTGGGCAGAAGGAAGCAGGTTGCTACGGCTTCTTCAGTGCTCCCTGGTGGGGGGCCTGACGATGACCTTGTTGGCTCCCGTGAAACAGGCTGTGCGGCACCCAAGGAGGGAACTAAAACGACCCATCACCCAGGAGGAGCCAAAGAGCAGGAAAGGTCATCTGTATCTCCAGAGAGATGGTCTGTGGCAGCTGATGGTGAGGAACCAATGCTCTCAGCATCTCAGGAGTCTGCAGTTTCTTCAGTGGATGGAAGCGACATCTCTTTTGGTTCACAGAGGTAAGGGAACAAAATACTAAACAAAACAGTCAGTGGTGCAGGACAGAGATGAGTGAGGAATGTGGCAGAGGTGAGTGTCCATGTGGCCTACTGTAGCCCTGCCACCTCCTTGGGTCCTTTGAAGGTCAACACACTCCTACAAAAGAAACAGGCTTTGGGATTTTTTTCGTCTAATTCCCTGTGAGCTGTTCTCAGAACACAAAAGTGCTTGTGGGTCCATGTGTGCAAGCCCCCAGCCTGGCATGCCTGGTCTCTGCAAGTTAGAGCAACAAGGAGCGCTCCGTGTTGACTGAGAGCCAGCAGCTGGAGTAGGGAGAGGATGGCACAGCACGACTCGGCAGAGGCTGCTGCACTGTGGCAGCGGTAGGTGCTGGGGGGCAGGAGCGAGGAATGCCAGACAGCTCCAGGGCTGGGTGAGCAGGACCAGCACTGTCACGGCTGGGAGGGGGAAGTTTGCAGAACACGTGCCATGTTCTGCTTCGTTCATTATGTGGGTGCTGGTATGGGAGAGTCTGTCATCCTGGTCACAAGGGGTGGCCACCGGGGACTTGGGGAGCACTGGTACTGTCCTTGATGGCCTGTTCTTTCCTTGATCTCTGGCCTGCTTGACCTTGCTTTTAGTTCTTTCGTGAATGGATTTGAAGCCTGTGCTTTTGCATCCGAAGAGGAGGAAGAGGAGCTTTCAGCATCTCAGGCAGCAGCTCGGGAAGAAGATAAGCTGGAGGCAGTAAGGTGCTACATCCGTTCAAACACAGCCCTGTACCACAAGATTCTTTTTTATGAGCCAGTTGAGCTGGCTGAGCTGCACACAGAGCTGAAACAGAATGGCATTAAAATTTCCAAGGCAAAGCTGCTGGACTTTTTAGATGCTCACTGTATCACATTTACCACGGCTGGAGCCCGGAAAGAGAAGGAACAGAAAAGAAAGGAGAACAAAAAGCAGAGGAGACGATACTGAACGGAGCCCACTCCTCCATCCTGAACGTTGTACATGGAGGCCTTCCCGCTGAGCTGGAAGGAAACGCCATTCCAGGCTGGTGCTAGCAGTGGTGCTGTGGTCGGTGGGTGCGCTGCTCCTCCTTGTGGCCTGTTGTCCAGGTGACATGCTGGAGAACGGCTCTGACATTGCACAAACTCCTCCGGCCCCCGTCCTGCCCTCAGCGCACAAGTCATCTGGAGCCTTTTCTTTTCCCCCCCGATTTTCTTCCTGTGCCTTTTCTTTCCATTTTTCTGATGGGTTTTAGGTCCCCGACTTTTCTTCCTGTTGGTGCTTCAAGAGGCAGGTGCTTCCCCCAGACCTTTTCCCTGGCCTTGGACTGTGAAATGCTTTACCCTTCAAGTTCCAGGATTCAGTAGAATAACCCACCTGCAAGAAACCAGTCCCCCTTCCCCTGTGTAAAGCACTGAATCTTTACACCCCAATGACTTCTGCCTTCATCAGCATACGATTGCCCTGCTGACTGTTGAGGCAGAACGCGTGGTCAAAGTACAATGCCTTTCTTCCGTCCTTGGATCTATTTGTGATCTCCTCGAAAACTCCTGAATCTGTGTTGGTTAAATGGCTGCAGAACAGTGCAGGTGGTTGTCTGGTCTCTTTGTGATGGCTCCCAAAAGTGCCCTCTGACAGCAGATGTCACGTGACAGCCCTTTAGATTGGAACATTCAGTTGTGCCGGGTCTGTGTTAAAGATGGCATCTGCTCCGTTTTCTGAGCGCCGTTCTACCTTGTCAGTGTAGCCTGAGCATGTCCTCCTCGGAGATGTTTTTAAGACAGTATTAGAGTGGATCTCTTAGCACTTAAAACCTGATCTAAACCCACTTCTCTTATCCGTCTCATTTCCAAACTGGACTGATCTTAGGTTGTAAATGGTCTGGGACTCTTGGGGAAGTCCTGGACCTTAAATTGTCATATGTATTTACTTTCACAGCATCTTCCAACTTTCTTCTATTCTGGCAGTTTTGAGTCTGCAAAGAGTCTCGCTCAACAAAACGGGCACAAAGAAGCTGGATTTCTCACCTTATTTATGTATTTGGAACTTATAAATATTTTTTCTATTTTTGATATAGCACATTGATTTGATTTATATCATATACAATAAACAATTTGTGAGGTGCTAATGATAAACTTACGACAGACTTGGGGGGGTTCTAAGCAGCAACGCTGGGTCTGGTTGAGAGCAGTTGAGTCCACAGCCTGTGCCTGTACTGGTGAGACCCTGAGTGGGGAACTGGGGGAAGAGCAGCTGACAGGGTTGGTCTGGGCTGTGCAGCCCGAAGGAAGGGGAGACCTAGGGGGAAGGTGTTGGGGTCTGCTGGGAGGGTGGGCTGTGGGGAGGGGTCCAGTCTGGCCTTGGAAGGGAGGGCTGATGAACCTCCTCTGTCGGGTGTCGCTGTGGCGTGTGTAATGGGGGAGCTCCTAGCAAAGCTGTCTGCCACATCTGGTGAATTTTCAGGGATTTGGGATAGTTTTCCTCCCTGGAAGTCATGTCACTTTTCCTCCTGCACCTTCTTGTGCAAGAGCTTCCAGGAGCTCTTGTTACGTGAAAAGGACAAGGTTTGCCTTCAGTGGCATTCTAGGAAATGTTGTTTCCCTCCGTGTACTCTCTCAAGTCCACACTTTGTATACGGGATAAACTTCCATCCCACTAACCGGCCTTAATATGGGAAAAGGACGTATCTGACATAGACTGCAAATTACCTGAAAGCAATTAGTCATTTGCCTGCTTTGTTAATCCGTAAGCAAAGCATGCCTCCCCAAGCTAATACTGCTGTTGCCATCTGCCAGTGATGATGTGTTGCCAAACAGTTCGGTTTGTACGTATTTCTGTGTTTTCTTACCTGCAGGCTCGTTTCTCTTGGAAAATACAGTGTCATCATTTTTTATTTCCAACTGTGTAATAACAGCTATTAAAAATATTTAGATGCTTCTGTTGAACACTACCAAGGCTGCAGAGAAAAAACAACAAAAACCCCTCAACTTTTCAACTAAGGTATTTGTTGTTTTTTAAGTTAAAGGAGCAGCCGTGTCCCTGGCAGGGCACAAAGCTGCTGTCTAACCACGGTGCACCGGGTGAGATCTGGGTGAGCTTTAGAAGGCACTGCTTCTAAATTCGTGCTGCCAGCCAAGCGATCCGTGGGATTGCTTACGTTCACTCCTTTGCGGCTGCCACCGTGCTGGTTTGTGTGTCGGCCCGTTTCCTGCCTGAAGAAGTAGTCTCACCAGGTGTACTCTGAGAAGCGGCGCTGCGGCTGTTTGCGTAGGTATCTTGCACGGGAGAAAAGAGCTGTATTCTTACACGGGCACAGTTCTGTCTGTCTCTCCTGCTGGGATTTCCTGAGTGGGTGTGAGCCATCACCATGGCCAAGACCCACGGGGAGGCCAGTTTAACTACACGGTATGAGGATGCTGCGCAGCGTGGAGCGGTGGCGGCTGCGCCTTCCCCTTCTACTAGGCCAGCAGAGCCCCGGCATTACAGTTACGATGCCAGTGTTCGGACAACAAAGGGATAAATCCGAGAGCAATCCTTCCTGCAGTTCTTTAAGGGAACTGGAGCTGTTCTGGAAGTGCATTTCCAAAGTACTTCTTTGCTTTTCAGATCGCTCCAGCATAGAATTTTTTTCAGAGGCACTGCAGTTAAGCTGGTCGTTGTTCAGTGAATCGCAAAGTACCTGGGAGAGGTGACAGCCCTGAGCAAGGAGTCTCTCCGATTTGGGTTGCCGTCCCCTGTAACAGGGATTCAGCGGCACCGCAGGCCTTCTCTGCCCTGGCTCCTGCCCTCTCCAGCCGCTCCACTGCCCGGGCGGTCATCGTGCAAGCTCACACGGCTAAGGAAGGAGTTCTCACCAAGGCTCTCGGTGAGTGCTGAGGCTTTCGGCGGGTGCCAGCGCCCAGCGCAATCCCGCTCCTCCTTCCCCAGCACCAAAGGCCGCATCGCCACGCTCCGGACCGAGGGGGCTGCAGCAGCCGGACTGGGCCCAGGGGAGGTCTGTCATCTCCTGGGATGGGGCTGGGCC